AGAAATAAAAAAGGTTCAAGTATTGAGCCCTGTGGAACACCCATTTTATCCGGAGAGCCCAAAGAAGTCACTCCATTTATGTCTACTTTCTGAATTCTACCGTTGAGATATGACGAGACAAGTTCCGACGTCTTGCCATTCACACCGTAATGTTCCAGCTTCCTAATAACGTTATGAGACCTTTCCCAAGCATCAAAGATGTGTTTTAGTAACGCTACCCCCGCATCGCTAGTCGATCTGCCCGTAATAAACCGGGTAGGTAGTAAACCCGTATTGTTCACTATGAAAAAATATACGGTTCTTACCGAAATAGGACAGTAATTGAGTCAGCATAAACTTTTCGAATATTTTTTTTAAAGCTGGTAAAATTGAAATGGGTGGATAGTTGCTAGGATCAACTTTCCTACAGTTTTTGAATAAGGGTATATAATAATAACCTTGGTGTATTTCATTAAATCGGGAAAAACACCTTCGTCAACGCACCTATTGAATGCTACAGCTAAATGTGGGGAAATTAGGTCAATAACTGAGTCTATAACTTTAGTTGATATGCCCCAGAAATCTTCAGTTTTTTTAACATGTATTGATTTAAAAGCTTTTATGAAGTCTTGTGGATATGTTGTGGATTAACATGACGGAAATTAAATAAACTGCCACAAACGTTAACAGTTTCCTTTAGGAGATCAATAGCAAGAGAAGGGGAGGAATATACTGATTCTGTAGTGTTCACAGCAATTTCCAAAAAGAACGATTGAAAAGCTTGGGCTACCTTGTCTTTAGATTTTATAAGTTTGCCGTGCAGGAGAACAATCTAATTTTACGAGGAAACTTCAAAAGCACTTGTGTTAAAGTTCTCCCATAACCTATGCAAAGTCTCTCCCATTACTAAAATCTTGTTGTAAATAAAACTTTTGAAGGTGAATGAAAAAACGCTAAAACAAAATTAATTAATATCTTTACTTCAGAGGGAACACATTACACTTGAAAATGTCAAATTGATCTAACTCTACTTAGATTTCCCATAAAGAAAGTAGGTAAAAATCTCTAAGGGTTGCTATTTATAAACAGACATTTGTTCACATTTATCATTTACAATACTATTTCAAATACCCTAGATATACAAACAGTCTGAATGAAAACTAAATGAATCAATTACATGAATTTTTGTCAAATCTGAGTAAGTAGAAGCTGCATAATAGACGAACGAACTGTACGTAAAATATTTTTATTTCACTAGGATTTAAACCCTGTGAATTTTGAATATCAACAAGAAGCGTATATTATTGTATCTTAAGGGGAATGTCACGGTCGATTTACATATAAAATGAATTTGACATTTTCGTCACTGCGGCTGCTTTTATATATAAATAAAAAACTATTTATTTTCTGATTATCGCATATACCAAAATCAACGCTTAAAGTCCAATGAAGAAATACACTCCCGGACACAACTTTCGAGCCATTTTGAATTTTATTTTGAAAGACCTAGAATATAAAAATATTGTTTTATTAAAGAAAAAGTTTTTATGCAGTTTTAATGCTGGCAGGTTCCCCCGTTATCGTGGTGTGTTGTTGTTCCAAATTTGAATTTACGAATTTGAAAAACGGAGAAAAGTTGTAATTCGTCATTGTTTTTATAGAAATAAGGGAGCGTAAGGTGCAAGTCAGAACAAAATAATTTCAATATTTTTGATTTAATTATTTTACTTAACAATAAAGGAGTATTACATTGTTTTTCCTCTAAATTTAACCAAATTTCTCGAAGGAATTATGAACACTGCGCCTGAAGTAGCCGCACAAGCTATGGCACTTTTGCAGTCTGGACTTAGTCAGCGCAATATAAGTACACAACTGCATTTAAGTCGTTCCGCTGTGCAAAGGTTATACCATCGGTACTTAGAGACTGGCGGCTATGTTCGCCGTCAAGGAAGTCCACGATTTCGAGTGACAACGGAAAGGCAAGATCGATTTATCTTCACGACGAGCTTACGAAATCGTCAACTGACGACAGTCCAAGTACAATCCAAGTACAGCTTCGAGATTTTCATGGAGTGGCTGTTAGTGCTAGAACTGTGAGAAGATTTAAGGAATGTGGTCTAACTCCACATAAGCCAGCGCACGGGCCCAAATTGACACGGGCTCATCGAATGGCGCGACTCCAATTTGCACGAGAACATTTGCATTGGACTCCACGTCAGTGGAGCCAGGTACTCTTCACTGATGAAACTAAGATTATGGTCTATGGTAATGATAGAAGGAACAAGGTATACCGAAGACAAGGAGAGCGTTTTGTGCAGTGTTGCATTGAAGAGAAAGTGAGCTGTGGCGGGGGTTCATGGACAGTCTGGGGAGGAATATCCACCGAAATCAAAACTGCGCTTGAGGTTGTGACGGGGCCAGTGCCTCGAAATTCATGTAATGCCAATTGCTGGCTTTGTAGGCCGAGATTTTATTCTCATGCATGACAACGCAAGAGCGCATACTGCAAAAGTCGTCACGGAATACCTTCATGACGTCGGTATTACTATCATGCAATGGCCAGCACGAGCCAAAAAAAGAGCCGTGTTCGAGTTCACCACCCAGCCCAGCAAACCTTACCGGAGTGAAAGTGGCCATTGAGGAAGAATGAGAGAACACTTTACAACACTTCATGTTGACGTTAATTAATTCTATGCCAAATCACATGGCGGCCGTTGTCAACGCTCTTGGAGGCAATACAAGTTACTGAATAGACAATTCTTTCCGATAAGCCACTGTTGTCTTCAAAATTTGTTTACTAGAATTTCATTTGACAAAAGTGAATTCAAGACTTGTGACACTTAAACTTGCTTTTTCCTGGTTTCACAAAATCAAATTTTCAACAAGGACATACGGAAATGACGTTTAGTAAACCAGCTTCAAAATTGCATTAATAGTTTTTGATCAATCAAACATATTTTTAAGCTTAGGGCATTTAATACTAAAAATGCAAGGTGGCTCGAAATATGTGTCCGGGCGTGTATTTGTAATCATTTCAAAATCATTTATAATCGGACAAATCTTTGCTTGTGTGCGACAATGAATACACTATAAGTGGAGTAAAATGGTGTCGTGGCCTATGAACAGCTGATTTCGCTGTCACGTTTTTACTCCGTAGTTCTCAAAGTGCTTAAAAGATGGCTCAAGTACAAGGTTACTCAGAATTCATAACACGAACGAATTTGTAATAACAATATTTGAATATTTGATATTTCTAAACAACTTTGGTAAGAAGCTGGAAAGGACGTTACGGTTGACGAAATTAGTAAGAATTTGTGACTTGGGGATGACAACTATCAAGAATGAGTTTCATTTCTCGTAATAATGTTACATACATTACAATAATTATAACAACCTAGTGGAGTGATTTCACATACAAAACAATTGAAAATCAATTCAATAAAAATTTAAATACAGTGAATAGCGACATCTCTAGCTGGGGCTGGTAGCTGTTAAGGTATCTAACTGAGTGACGAAATACTTTCATACATTTCTCATAGATGGCGCTACGCTAAAAGGTCGTTGAAAAACCAAATACAAAGACGACAACAAGCACATAGAAAAATGACTTAGGTGGCATAGCGTCCGGCACGGTTTGCTTGAAAACGTCTTGAAACGAAGGGATTTTTCTAAGTGTTCGATCTTTGTATTAATAATTATAACAAACTAGTGGAGTAATTTCACGTCAAAAATAATTAGCACATAAAAACAATACCAATTCAATAAAAAAAATTAAATGTTACATTTATCACTATTTCTCGTCAAAAAATACTATTCTTCTCACATAAATTATATTTTCATTAATGAATACTAACTGAATACTTTGACGTCATTGTAGGAACGTTAATTTGTTCGAATTTATGGCAGTTTGCAAATACTCTATTCAGGAATCACTTAACTTTCAATCACAAAATCTGTAGGTGGAGAGGTAAAAGACCTTAAATCCATATTTTGATATAAAGATGTTTTGAGAAACATATGCTTCACTCGTAGAATGCTAAAAATCACGCAATAGTCAAATACATTTAGACTCAACTCACACTGGCGCAGAGTCGAAGCGTTTCGCCTATAGCATATTTATCTCTATTTTTCCGTTATTAAAGTATGAACTTGTGTTATGCAAATATGTAGTCAAGCGTTGACGCCGCGCGTTACTTGAGCGCAGTCAGGCGTCAGGCGCCGACCACACTGTGATCCGGGCGCATTAATGTGAGTGTCGTCCTTGCGCGTCGTCAGGCGTTGTAGTTAAAAAACAGGACGCGACGCGACGCTTCGACTCTGCGCCAGTGTGAGTTGAGCCTAAGTCTTATCGTTGTTTGTTTTTTTATTTAACATTGTTTCATTTGAGCTTAAGGTTGATTTTAAATATTTAATTACGAGCCTTATTATCTTTAAACCGCTGTGTAAGAAAAATTTTACTATTTGGTACTTAAGGTTCTTTACCTCTTACTTTTAGCAGCAGTCGAGCGCCTTGAGAAAAGTTCGTCCAGTGAAGTACACCTAATCTATTTCTGCCGCCAAGCAGCAATGTCAGCGTTACCGTGTTCCGGTTTTGAAGGGTAAGGGTGCTAGTGAAATTACAGGCATATGGGACTTGTCAACTTATGTTTCAGGGTGACGGGAACAGTGGCAGTGCCCCTCAGATTTTTGCTATTTAAAGCTCTGAGTGGCACTGCAACTGTTATGGACAGGTGTGTAGCTTACCATCAGGCGTATGATTTTTTACACCTCTCACTTGGTATTATATTAAAAAAATATATAATTTTTAAAATTTTTATTCTTCGGAAAGAAAAATATATCGGCATAGCGTCCTTCTCTTTACTAAAATTGCCGTGTCCAACAGGGTCCACAATTAGTTCTCATAGCTACAAGTTTTCATCTCTGTATCTTTAAGTGCTGAAGTGAACTTTTTGTTTAACAGTTACTTATTGTTCAATCGGATCGGGCAAAAACGTGTCCTCGCTTGCTCGACAGAGACTGACCTGTACTTGGCGGTGGATATCCGGTTGCCGATGTAATTGTAAGGTTGTGCGCGGTTCACGAAGATGACGCGGTTCTGTTGCTCGCTATCCGCGCCATCCGTCGCTCCCGACGTCGTCGCTTCGTCTTCGTCTGCAACACAAAACAACACGAAACTCAGATTTCAAGTTTACTATTCATAGAGCATTTATACTCGTACGCTATATTAAAATTGTTGTCCTCCACTACGTTTTAATAAATTCCTGTTTTAGTAATTCTATTAATTAGAAATAGCAATTTCTCAAAATATTTGCTAATTCTGAAAGAATATTTATTAAAAGTAATGAAATATTATCATTACAAAAATACTGCTTATCTTTTTATAATATAATTTTACTCTAACTTTATTCTAACTTTTAGACAAATACGTTCACTTCAAGATTTTATTTCATTTCTAATCAATTAATTGGACATTATTTACATCAAGAAATGTTTACCTCTTACATCAAATTTACATAATGTTAAATGAATTTAAAATTTCTTGGGTGTATTTTAAGAAAATGTATTCTTAGACAAAAGAGGAAGTATTTTGCTATTCAGATTAATATTCTAAATTCTAGAGTATATTTTTCAAAGCAACATTTCGTTGCGTTTTCATAGTCAATGTTGTCGTGACATGTCGCCGAAGGCGCACACGGTAACGATTACTTTTACTTGTGCTTGTAATCATAAAAATCATAAACAGTCATTTCTCCAAAGAAACAATACGCAGTATCTCATTGCAGTTTGTTAGTGTGTTCTTTGTAGTCATAATTTGAGAAATTTGGTTTCAGCATGATAACACTGCGTACACTTATGTAACAAGCACAACTTTTACATGCAATTAGTTCCATCGTGCCACTGCTAGATGGCATTAGTTGTACTCTGAAACGCGCTATCGTTTTGTTCACTTCAATAGTAGAAGTCATTTCATTATGTTTTGACTTGTTAATGTCTTCAGTAGCGCTCTGAGGCCCCGTGCCCACTTGGGCGCCCTCAGGTCCGCTACTTAGCTTTGAGTTTATTTTACGGGTTATGAGCCTTCAGCTCGCCCTTTTCTTCAGAAAACGAAAAAAAAAAACTATTTTTTATTTTTTTTAATTAAGGATGGTAAATATTACGTAAAAATAGCGGTTTCGGTAGTTTCCAAGCTTCTTTAAGCTCTTTACCTTCAGAAGTAGCTGAAATGATGAGTAAAAACCACGGTTGTGACATTACAGACATGGGAGTGACGTGTGTGTGTGTTCAAACGTTTTTAAAAGATGTATGTATTAAATAAAAGTTGTTTTTATTTTTATATTGGCTACTGGGTCCATCACTCCCAATACGTAGAACAGTAACATTCTGGTTGATAATTAAATGAGCCAACGCTTTTTTTAAGTGCGCGTAAATGTCACACATCAAATAGGTAGTGAAGGACGTCGTTTAAGCTGTCTAGTTTACTGTGGAATAGTTCTTTTCACCTAAAAGCCTTTTGGCGCGCCTTTCTAGTGAATCCAGAGTCGACACTGAGCAGAACCATTCCATAGGTGGCAGCAGTACTCCATACGAGACCAAACTTGTGCTTCGTACAGTTGAAGCAACTGTTCCAAGGTGAAGTCTCTATCTACCGACCCGAGAGATAGGGTATTCCGGAGAGACTACGCGCTTCCCGGCAAGATCAGGGTACAGCGGGCGGGCCAAGCCCTCCGATAGTGATACGCCTTCACGGGCGTCTATGGTGGACACGGATTTGGGTATGGACTCGCTGGGGTTTGTGGTGAGCTGCAGAGACGGACATGTTCGTCTGCCCCGGTGGTGTGTGGCCGGGGCGTCTGTCTCGTCCGTAGCTTGCGCGTCTAAGTAGCGGTCTAGACGAGGACGTAAGTCGAGGAAACGCGCTGGGCACGTGTGTTGCCCTATAAGTCGGAAGCTATGTCCAAACATGGTCGCAGGACACTACGACCGGCATCTCCGGCACTAGCCCGGAGAGCTAGCTAGTAGAGGATGAGCTAGATGTCCTCCGGTCCCTCTAGCTGCTTAGATTGTTGGGAAGTAGAGAGACGCCGTTTTTCGGGGTCGGGAAGTGAGAGTACCTTACAGCTCCGCCACCAATGAGAAGATTAGGTAGTGGACTTTAGAGTCGACGGCTTAGGTGGCAACCGTTAGTTGTGCAATGCGCGACAGGAAGCGAGCGTGCCTACAGCTCCGGTGCCTATCTGGAAAATAGGGAGGGCACTGTACGCGCACCCGGAGCTGTTAACACGAGGCACTAGCCTCTGGAGAACCGGATGAAGTCAGTAACAACGATCAGTGACAACCTTGTACACTGGCTGATCTGGAGTCAGAACCTGAACTTAGAAGGTTCCTGTGCATGCACAGGTTATAATGCCCGTCTCGTATACCCTAAGCGTCGGCAGGGAGGGTCCCTATAATCAAAGCTAATGGAGAAAGATATGGTGCTGTCCCAGTGTGTAGTATCGCCTCGCCTTTGAAAGGATACCAAGCTTCATGGCTACAATGCCGAAGATTTCAAGCTTAGTATTTAGAAATGCAACTACAAAATGGTACTACATGCGATAGTAAGGCTCCTGCGTCAAAGCATAGACTTTTATGCCTATAAAATTATAATTAAAAGGCACTTGCACTGGTCAAAGGTCATGACCGTGGAAGATTGTCACAACCGTGATGTTTACGAAAACGCGGCTATGACACGTATGGTTGTGACATTTATGCGCCATGCTACTCATACCCTTAAAGTCTTTAATTGAATATTGGCTTAATTGTAAGCATAGTAATCCCGCTATATAAACATACAATATATGCCAAAATTAACAAGTAAATCGAATATTTACCTTTACAACACAAATCCATAGTTTTGACACGTTATGCTTCGACAGTTTCCAAAATAAATGTTTTCGAAATTAAATTTTCGACATCACAACAATGAACACCATCGCGAAAAGCAATCATTTGAGGAGTTGCCACTAGAAGTATACAATTATTGATTTTGCCCGAAAAATTACGACATAGTTAGATTTTTGTATTTGATAATGGACGTGGTAAAAAAACAAGTCACAAAAAGTTTTCTGAAAAAGTAAAGCGTCATTTATTTGTTTCTACAAAAATATTGATATTAATTTATCGGGCCTACATAACAATTCATAGATAAGACGTTTAATGTTGCAATTTCGGGAAAATCACACGACATGGTCGTGACGTTTCATATAGTTCCGGCCAAACAAAAATATATTATGTATTACATTTATATACTTGTAATATGGCAAAATATACATTGAGTAATTGTTTGACATGTGATTACTTTTTGCTTTTCATTATATTGCAAAAACATGCACTTCTCATTAGGTATCAGTTACTTGCTTGAGAATAAGAATTACCATTATAGCTGAAAAAAAAAACTGCAAATTAATAGAAATGTTTTTACGTAAGAATAATTCCTCGTAGGAATGTTTTTTTGCGATTAGGTAAACTGTCTAAAATAGACAAATAAGTTCGAAACATGTTGAATTATTCATTCACAGAAGAATGAAATAAAGGATTATAAATACAAATAAAACTAACACTAAATGACTTACAATATCAAATTGAAACACAGAGGCACGGCCTGTGTTAGTGTTTTCTATGATTGGATGTTTTTATTCAAAAATATCGATGCATCGAACAGAATTTCTTCTTGTCAAAACATCGAATCAATCCGATGTATCGTACGATATGCATCGAATGGATTCGATACATCGATGTTCAACGAATATCCCTAAGACGATTCCGTCCTATTTCTGCTACTTTCAGGTTAGGCACTGAACTGTGTGCTTTCACGCTAGTGAGACATACTAGTGGGTCCATAACCCGGTAAATTTACCCTTTTTGATAATATACGCCTTTCTACACTGAAGTCTGCGTCTCAATTCGTCGTACTACGCAACCCCTTCGTTGACCAGCGCCACACACTCAATTATAGAAAACATAAATCTTCAGTCAAATAATTAAGTACCTCTCAATTTTTAATTCTTTATTTTTCAAGTCAAAATCAGAAATTTCTAATAACTAATAAATATTTTGTTGAATCTAGAGTAGCTTTATGACTTAAGTAAATTAATTTGCTCTTGGATTAAATATGTCCGTCTTATAACTAAAATACACTTTTGAGACGTTTTTTTACTATTATCAAGTAATTATTCTCAAGCGTCTATAGGAGAGGATCGTTTTGTTGGATTTAATAAATTTGTCTCCATAAAAAGTATTTTGTCTTTTTCTAAGTAATCTGTTTTTACCGTGTAACTAATGGCAGATTTTCCTTGGCATTAATATTTTATAAATCGAGCTGGCGAATGACGAATCATGGGTTACAACGGACAATATAATCCATAGGAAATGAAACTATTTTTTCGGGTTTAAATCGCGTGTGTTTGTTAACAAACAAACCTACGTTTCTGCCTTTACAGATTCCATGATCACGAGTGACTGGGACCTGTAAAGGGCCCGAAACGTTGGTTTGTTTGAAAAAAAAAGATGTTGATGTTAAAAGATGTTGTTAAGAACTCACATTCTAACGATATTGTCAACAGTAGAGTAGAGTAGTTGACCAGACAAGCTGTACAACATATATAACGGTATCTCAGTGATCAATACATATCCATGTACCTACACAATATATGTACATGTGCGCATGTTTCCGTAAGCTTAATGATCTTGTCCTTTGATGGTTTATTTATACGCGTGTACTTTGTCGGCCCTCACATGACATACGTTCAGTGTCGTTTACTTATTAATACACGAGTGACTTAACATGATCGATTCCGAGGGATGTAATTCAACAGCTTAACGATCGATGTAACACACAAAACACAAAAGTAAAGTAATGCGGAGTTTCCTTTGAAGTGTCTACATACGTAGGATGGGCAATAAAAGCGAGGCTATCTAAAGTTTTAAAGCTATACACGACAAGTATATCCACTGCAGAATACAAGACTCCTCAGGAGAAAATATAGTAATATTAGTATATAGGAAATGAAACTATTTTTCCGGACTTAAATCGCATATATTTGTTTTTTGAAACAAAACCAGTATAGGGCCTTTTGCAGATCTCATGGTCACGGTTGACTGAGGTGGTAAGT